GCCAGAGCAATTAATAAAATCTAACCAACATTTAATAAAAATACTTTTTGTTTACCTCCAAAAACCATTATATCCCATTTTATTTATCTATTTATCTTTTAATCTTATCCTGCAATCAACAACCTATTTTTGACTAATTTTGTGGTATGTAACGGATGCATTAGATTGCCATTTTTTTTTTCTAATTTGTTTAAAATTCTATCACACACACACACATATATATATATACATAATTCTTGGTTTGAAATCATATATTAGCAATTTTAATTCGGCCAAATTAATTTAAGGAAAAATCACTTTTCTTTTTTTACTTTCAGATGTTTCTTTTATATTAAGAAAATGTGTAAATGAATTAAACAATAATATTTTACTACAAACAAAACACAAAATCAATTAAATAAAAAAAATCTCAGTTATCCCTTTCAATGGAAACTGTGCAACTCGTCATAACAAAATAATATATAAATAAATAAATTATACCATAATAAAGTGCGAAAAAAAAATCTTGGTCAATAAACTAAATGCCCAACATAAATCCTTCCATAACAATCATTTTTTTTCTAAATATCATAATATCCACAAAAATTATTGCACGTCATTTATTGTAATATTATACATTTGACCAAATAAAAATGAGAATAAGTAATCAATTGACACCTTAATTTGCACCCAAAATTTATTTATTTGTGATTAATTAGTTTTACAGTATTTTTGTAATATTTCTTTAACATATATTCTCACATTTTTTTATTTGCATCTGTGCATGTGCACATGATCGAATACTAGTAATTCGCAAACATATTGTTTTTTTTTTCAATAAAAAGGTTTGCAATATATATATATGTAATTACTAGTTGATACATTTAATAAAACATTTAATAAAACTTATTCTCATTTTCCTGTAAAAGGAGTTACATTTTTCTAATTAATTACTTACTAATCTGCTAAAACCGTTACACCTTAATATATATATTTTTACTTTTTATTTTTTAGATCAGTTACTAAATTAATTCTAAATTTGGTAGCAAAATATTCAAATGTGTAACGGCTAATGTTGGAACTTAACGTTGATTGACAAATTCAGAGCTGTAACAGCTATATTTGGTTGCATTGTTGGAAGAAAAATATGATTGACACATAATTTTTTTTTCTAAAAATAAGAAACCCCAATAATTTTTTTTATTTATGTTAATTTTCTTAATATATGACACAAATATATAAATTATTTTATTCATGTTACTAATGTAAACGTTGCATGGTTAAAATAAAATTTAAATCTCAATTAATTTTGAACGATAAGAATAACTTAAGAAAAAGTAATAATTTTTATATTATAGAAGTACATGTCTAATTAATAAATACAAACAAAAGCATATTTTATATCTGTGTAAATGCACAAGATCAAATACTAGTATAATTTTAAGGTCATCAAATGTAGTATTCTGTGTGAGTAGCAAAATAATGTGAATTGTGTAACCCCTATAGGGTAATTAAGTAATATTTGCATAATTAATTTTTTTTTTTTTTTTTTTTTTTGGTACAGAAAAGAGGCTAACGCCTAGCGGTTGCACACTGCCCGCGAATAAGCTACGCCAATAAGATCATGGTGGAGCCATTGACGAACTCCATCTGGCGGGGCATGCAAAGGATGATATCCCATCGGAGCATCCGTAGCGAAGGAAGCTAGATGATCAGCTGCAAAATTCGCTTCACGGAAGGCATGTGTCACTTTGACATTCCAAGATCGACCTAATAATTCTCTGATACCCAACACAAGACTTGAGTGCACCCCTGGCACATCTTCAAGGGATCTGGAAAAACCGACGACACTCTCATTGTCTACTTCTGCTTCCACTTGTCGAAATCCTAAATCCCAAGCCAACTTAAGGCCTCGAAACAGCCCCCATAACTCCGCCGCCATGATCGAGCAAACTTCGATCTTCATTATAAACCCCCCTCGCCATTGGCCGAACTCTTCTCGTATGAGACCTCCCGCAGTCCCCATACCCGTCGTCGCATTAAGTGATCCATCCGAGTTGACTTTAATCCAACCCGCCGGAGGTTTAACCCAAGTTATCCACCTCTCCATCCTTATCCGTCCCGATCCCCCAAGTTTTCTGTCACTTTCGAGAAACTTCATAATTCCCTCGACGTAGGTAGAAACTTCATACAAAGCACTTTGTTTTGTCCGTCTTTTCTCTTGAAAAATAGCGACCATATCAACCTAACATGTTTTTATGTTGTTCATATGCATAGTGTGAGTACAATATTTTCCAACTGTACTCACTCCCACCTTCTCTTCACGGATGCAGGTTAAGCAGTTGGTGGGTGACGAGGCAAGACGAGTGGGTAGTCTTGCTCATTATTGATTATTATTATGCTTCCGTTTATTTATGCCGTTACATTGACTTGGATTTCTCATTCGTGCTTGATTGGGGATAAATTGATTATGTCGTTGAAACCTTGGATTATGTTTTGAATTTCATGGTTTTTGGAACTTATTGAATGCTAGTAAAGTTTTATAACTATTAGTCATGCATGTACCGATTTTGTCTGATGTGTTTGTATTTTCGATTAATAATTCTTGGTAGTTAAGTAGTGCCTGTTGAATTTTAAATTTAATTTGTGATTTGCAAAAAAAAAAATAAAAAAAAATTAACTCTAATTTTTATAAATAAAAATTCGATAAATCCTTTAAAACGTTACAATAGATGATCTATTCTCATATCATAATTGATCATATTAACTAATTATTACATTTAAAAAAAAGTTGATATATAGATGATCTATTCTCATAGCATAATTGATCATATTAACTAATTATTACATTTTTATTTAATAAAATCATTACCTAAGAATGCAATGATTAGTTAAACACCTACTATTTTTCTTTAATAGAGACCTAATTTAAAGAATCTATACTTATATTAAAGGGGATACTATTTACTAAATGTAGTATGTAGAATAGTCAACCCTAATTAATGATTTGCTATTTTTATCAATCATTTAATTAATGCATCTAATATTTTTGGTATGCAAATCAAATTAGCATTTAATTAGTTCCTAAAATATTGGGTATGCAATATTAATTTAGGAATATCTATGTAGTTCCTAAAATGTAGGTATGCAATAAGTAAATGAAGATTTTTTATTTTTTTTAAATATAAAATATTGCAACACTTACAACTATTCCAGTTATTTTTTTTTATTTATTTTACATATAAAATTTAATCAATATTTAATGCATCCTACAAAATTGGATTTAGTTTAATTCTCCATACAATTGGTTGTAACTTTTTCAGTTGTACATTTTTTATTTATTTATTTTACACTTTTAAATTAATAAAGCTCTCCGAAAATACCAAATCAAATGATTTATGAAAGTTTTTTTTTTTACAATTTTAAATCTATATACCCAGCTTAAAAAACTCATGGCATGGACGAGTTTAAGAAATTTTCATAACCCAGCTTATAAAATTCCATCTCCAGTAAAAAAAATCACATCCCTCATCTATCGTAACAACTTTAAACGTAAATAAATAAAAGTCTAATTACTACTATAAATTCATTATCTATATAGATTTTTTAAAAATGTAAATTTCACCTGTCTCATTACTAATATTTTAAATACTTTTAAATATTATTTGTATTATTTTTTTTTACACATTTGCTCTCTCTCTCTCTCTCTATATATATATACATATATGAAGATTAAATGAAGAATTTTTAGACATATTTTCCTTACGGGTAGTTTAGAAAAATTTAGGTAGCTTCAAACATTATTTGTGAATAATATAGAATATTTTAGATGTTTTTATAGATGTTATAAAATATTTTAAGTATTTTTAATATTTGTATATCACACTTAAAAAGAATATTTTGCCAAAAAAAAAAACATTAAATACACATTATAAATGTTAATAGAAACAGTCTTCAGTATTCATCTTTGATTTTGTCAAAACAAATCTTATAAAATCGGTGAAGTCAAAATTTGTACGTACAGTCTATCTATACTAAAAAAAGGTAGATTCAAAATTCTTTATCTAATTTCTTTTTTTTTTCTTATCTAATTCATTCTTATTATCTAATTGTATAGAAATCTGTTCTGATTTTGTGTAATCCTCTAATTGTATTTGTATCATATCCGATAAAATAGGTTTAACAAAAAAAATCTCATAACATCCGATAAGTAAAAAAAAGTACGTAAAATCTTTCTTAAAATAAAAAGGCTTTATTTATTATCTAATTATATGGAAATCTGTTCTGATTTTATATTACATACTACAAATTATGCACCCGTGTTCAGGAGCTACTTAACCGACAAGCTATGTGAAAATAACTCATTTAGTGCTTCTGTCCCGTGCATACGGTATGTATTTGTATTACACATACTAAAAAATTGTGTACCCCGTGCATCGCACGGACTCTGTACTAATAAATTACCTTAAAATTGTGGACCCCGTGTTCACATTTTGGCCTATTACAGGTCACGTACTATATATATCCTGTACATTTTTCTTTATTCATTTATATAATTATAAAACTTGATAAATAGCCTTAATTTTGTGCACCCCGTGCATCGCACGGGATCTGTACTAGTGTATTAAAACAAAGGAGAACTATCGTTCCAAACTTGCCTATTTTTCTTATTTATTTTGCCACGATTGTTGTCTTTGAAGGTTAGGTTTCATTATTATTTATATTTATTTTTATTATTTTAATTTACAACGGTATAAATACTAAACATTTATAATTGTATAAATATTATAATTATATTGATAATATTAAATTAAGTTAATTTGAAACAAATCAACATTGAATTTTAAGTTAAAATACTGTATTCGAATGTACCTACAACAAAAAATAAAAAATAAAAAATTATCCGACCAATCAAAATCAATATTGTTTATTTCATGCACCAAAGGATTTATTTAGGTAAAAGTTAACTTTTTTTTTTTTTTGGTTNTTGGTTTAAAATTCATAAAATATATTGATATATTTGATAATATCGTGGGATTTCACATTTATAATTTATGTTCACACCACATCCACACACTCGACTCACAGCTCGCCAGCTGAAACAAACCACCTGTCCGCGTCATCGAGCCTCGAGGGATGGATGATGTCATGATCGGAGCATCGCCGCCGCCGTCGACGGACGAGGCGGAGCCTGGTGAAGCCGAAGTTACGGCGGTGGCGGAAGCTGTGGAGGAAAAGGAACTGCTTTGTCCCATATGTATGCAGATCCCAAAAGACGCCTTCCTCACCGCATGCGGGCACAGCTTCTGTTACATGTGCATCGTTACTCATCTTCGGAACAAAAACGATTGTCCCTGTTGTGCCCAGTTCCTGACCACTTCCCAGCTCTTCCCCAATTTTCTACTCGACAAGGTGTCCATCATTTGCCCCCCTTTTTATGTCTTTCTAGGTCTGTTGTTTCTTTACTATGTTGTGAATTTTGGGGATAATGCTGGTGTTGGAGTCCTGAATTGGTTCATTTTGTATGTTATATTCTGGGTTTGAATGTGGTCCTTAATCCTTATTTCTTCTATTTTTCCTGTTTTTGCTAATAGTGGGATTTTACTGTTTAACTGTTGTTTTTGTGTTAGTGCCCAAGCCCTTATGGTGATGTTTAATTTTCTGTGGGTTTGGCAAAATTATGTTCAGTATTATATGAGTTGGGGTTGTTTGATCTGAAAAACAGGATAATTAGTTGCATGTAATCTTGCTGTTTACCAATTTACTGTTATAGTTAATTGTATTGCTTATTTCCTGATAAAATGCAGAAGGTTGAATCATCAAGCGAGTCACCCATGTTAACTAAATTAGAATTTAAAGTGATATTATCCCACTAGAGCTTCTATCACCTATGCAGAATGCGTTTGGACTGTGTATGTCAGAAAGGAGGTATACTTATAGGTTTCCGATTCAAATTCATGGACAATTGAGTACTTTATGTCTTACGACTTCATTTCGTTTACGAACTCCGATTGATATAAAGAGTTGATTGCATGTCTTATGTTTTGACATTTTTTGGAGCTAAATGTTCAACTTTAATAGTTCACAAGTATCTGTGCTAGGACGTGCATTTTTTTTTTATTCAGTATCCCTCAAATTTCTTCACTACACTGTATTGTGACTTTCATTGCTTGGTTTCATACCAAGTTCGCCTATTTACCTTACAATGCCGTTTAGTGTTATAAAAGTTTCTCTGTGCTACATTTGTAGCTATTGAAGAAGATGTTTGCTCGTGAACATTCAAAAACTGCATCTCCAGTAGAACAATTTCGGCAATCGTTAGAAAAGGTAATTCAGATCTGGGAAAACCTTCAGAAGTGTTATTGATTAATTTATATAACAATTCATTATAATTGTTGTAAACAACTTATAAGTATTTCGTATAGCATTTTATAATGTATAGTCAGCGTAGTGCTTTAAATCTCATAGTACTTTTTTATATTTATTAGAACAAATTACTCATCGTATTATTTTAAAATTAATAAACACATAATTGGTTTTATTTTGAAATTAAACATTGAATTAATTAATTGAAATTCAAAAATCATTACATTATCTCTATAAAAGATACAGAACAATTTTATTTTAAGTTTCTCAAGATAAACAAGATCACTGCAATGAGTAGTATGGAGCACAAATCAGCAATGGTGAATACTTGTTCAGTCCCCTTTACTATAAGATTCTGTCTTCAGTAACTTCCATTAACTCAAGTTTAATAGCTGCATCGTGCAAATGTAGTGAAGAAAAACCCCTGAATGGTAAACTACCCATTTCATCTAATTTTCTTGACATATACCATGCTTAGACAGGGTTGTGAAGTGTCCGCAAAGGAGTTAGGCTCTCTATTGTCTCTGGTGGCTGAGAAAAAGAGAAAAATGGAACAGGAAGAAGCAGAGAGAAACTTGCAAATCCTATTGGACTTCCTACACAACTTAAGGCGGAAAAAAATTGATGACCTCAATGAGGTATGTCAGTAATAAACTCAAAGTACACGAAAACTGTAGTAGGTTATTCAGTCCAGAATGTTTGAATATGAGAATTTTGTATGGGCAATCACTTATTTCGTTTTTTCAGTCTGAATTCTCATTTATTGACCTATTTTTTGTTTTGCATATGTTTTGATGTTCTTGTTGAAGTTCAGAAGAGTATATGGGGAACAAAACTTTCTTTCCTTTTTTTTTTTTTCATTGCCCTTTTGCATTTGTTTATTCATTTGTCTTTCATTTTCAAGATATGTTGATTATGTTGCTTCAATATTCCAGTTGCATAAGCAAAAAAAATAAGTGATGTAAATTGTGAATTAAAAACTATGATTTCATAATTGATGTGTAATTCAGCCACTTAACGCTATTCCATTAGGTTTTGGACCAGAGATATTGGCTCTAGTTTATTTATTTATTTATTTTTTTAAAAAAACCTTCTGAATTCCCATAGAGAATTAGAGATAATGTTGTCACGTGCCATTCTTGTTCTTTATAGATGCAAAATGACCTTTTGTACATCAAGGAAGATTTGACCACCGTCGAAAGACGTAGAATGTATCTAAACCGTGCAAGAGAAAGATGCTCCATTAAAGTGAATGTGCTCTCTGATGATCCAATGGGAACCAGACCCCATACTTCATTAGTGGGTAGAAGTACTCCTGGGTTTTTGTACAACTCTTCTAGTGCACCAGGGGGAATAACTTCCTACAAGAAAAATGAGGGAAATATTCAGATCACCCCCCATGGGACCCAGAGCAAGGGTGGTGGGTTAACTTCACAACATGTAGGCGATCTGGCCATGATACGTAAGAAGCGGGTTCACGCACAGGTTAGAAAAGGTTCAGTTAACAAGCCTTTATCTTCGAACGACTTTGATGTGTGAACTTTATTGAAAAAGCTCGATTTGTTAGTATGTTGGATACATGTAGACTATACATATTGGTGGTAGGCAATTAGGCATATTGTTGGACGTATCTTTTTTAATCTTGATTAGTGTATTATGACTTACTTTGAAAGTTTGGATATCAGTTTCTTATAACTATCTTTTAGGATATGTTTTAGTGAACAAATGTGAATAAGTTTATTTTAGTATTAATTCGAGAAATCCGGAACTAAAATATAAAATAACTATGAACATAACAGAGTAATGTCCAGAGTATATAACTGAATAAGGTTGGTTTTTGATGAACTGAAATCTCAAATGAAGTTTAATTTATTAGTTTTCAGTACAACATTTAGTTCTTAAATATTATATAATCATGCAATAGTTGCTATGTTCTGCATTGAATGTATCATATAAATTGTAATATGAATAAGGCATGTTAGCTGATGTATCGAAAGTGAAATTTATACATGTTTGTGATTTTAGTTGATATAAATCTAGGTAATCATACATAATGTATGATAAGAAACTCTGTTTAGTCTCCATTCTCCATTACACCTGAGCAATTTCCATTTTTAGTGATAAGATATTTCCCTCGTCCAATACTAAATGAAATTCAGTTTTCTTTATGGAAGCCATTATTCTGAAAGGCTGATATCAATTGCAATAACTGTCTAAGTCAAATAAGGCGAGAGCATTGGTGCCATTATCCATACGCTAATGCTTTTCTCTCAGCATAGAAACTAGATTCCTTTTTTGATTTTATCTTACGACACTCTTCATAAAGTCTCCAGTTGACTGATAGTTGTTATTTACAGTTTAATGAACTTCAAGAATTTTACTTACAAAGGAGACGTCAGTCGGTGAACCATTTAGGGAACCACGAAAAGAAAGATAAAACTATGTTTACAAGAGAAGGCTATAGTTCTGGTCTAGAAGATTTCAAGTCAGTTCTAAGTACTTTCACTCGGTACAGGTAAAGAGCTTGATTTGGTTCCACTAAAATTTTCCATCGTTGCTCCTTTTTTCTTTCACATTCTAGTGTTTATATTTCTTTTACCTCATCTTGGAACAGCCGGTTACGAGTAATTGCTGAACTTCGGCATGGTGACCTCTTTCATTCAGCCAATATTGTCTCGAGGTAAGTTGGAAGTTGAGACAGTAAGTTTTTCCATTTGGAAACATCTGTATATATTAGTTTCCTGATGGAAAATAGTCCGACTTACAACTCATGTGAAATGAATAATCTCGTGTTGGCAATAAGAGGATTGCAGTTTCTCATGATGACTTTAGTGGGACCAAAAAAACCTTTTTGTGATAAAAGCATATCCTTGAGTTACGTAGAAAACGGGGAAGCTTCTGGTAAAGTAAATTTGACACTACAGTTCTCTAGAGAAGTCTTTTTCCGGATGATTGTTCGAATTGGACTAGATTTAAGCTACTCATTTAGAATCACAAGTTTCTGCTTGGTTCCTTTTCTGTACGTGTTAGAAATATTCATACAGATATGGAATGCTGGTCTAAGAAAAAGATAATTTGTCAGAAGTGAGTAGATTTTCTTGTATGATGTTTCTTTAAGATCACTCAGCCAATGAACACTCAAGGAATTTCTATGTTATGCAGCAAGTTAGAATATTTCTGGAAATCTTTTATAATCAAGGAATTTCTATGTTATGCAGCAAGTTAGAAGATTTCTGGAAATCTTCTATAATCAAATTGGTCTTCTTAATTCTCCGTGTTTTTTTTTAGTTATTTTGTTTTAAAACGTTAGTCATGCTACTCCTATTGCAGTATAGAGTTCAATTGTGATGATGAGCTATTTGCCACTGCTGGAGTTTCACGGCGTATAGAAGTTTTTGATTTCTCTTCGGTAGATTTCTTCCCCTTTTGCCTATATTCTCTGCACCAATTGCCTTTCACACTGCAAATATATTTAATGGAGATTACAGCTATTGTAAACATTTATCAACCCAAATTTTAGTTAATTGCCTTTTCCTTCCCACATTGCGATTTAGAAGTTTATTATGGTGATCTGGAAAATATGCTTCTGTGTTACAGGTTGTAAATGAACCTAAAGATGCGAACCCTGTTGTTGAGATGGCAACAAGATCTAAACTTAGCTATCTAAGCTGGAATAGATTCATGAAAAGTCATATAGCTAGTAGTGATTACGAGGGAATTGTAACGGTATGGGATGTATCTACACAGCAGGTAGGAATAGGGTTTAGCCCAAGCATCAATTATTTGTTGAAATCTAATAAAATTTCATAAAGGCCTATAACTCATTTGCTAATACTAAATTACTAATCAACGTTTGGGGTCATTCAGAGTATTATGGAATACGAGGAGCATGAAAAACGTGCTTGGAGTGTTGATTTTTCCCGAACAGATCCTTCGATGCTCGTGTCCGGTAGTGACGACTGTAAGGTAAAGTGGCAACACTTCTCTACTGGTCAAATGGAAGTGACACCTTATTTGTTTCTAATTCTTGAATTATTATAATTATTATTATTATTATTATTTTTTCTCTCTTTTGGATCCGAAGGAATGGTAAAAATTGTGGAAGTAGGTATAATGGGAGACATGCAAGGCTAAAAAAATCTTATTTGTAGTTTCTAAATATGCCTTCGATATGAAGAGAACACCCATTGAAGCTCTTGAGGTCTTCTCCCAAACAGTTGGCACAAGAATAAAAATATATTTTCGATCATTCAGCATATGGAGACCTGGTATAACCTGTAGCCCCGGGCTTTGAGGTAGGACATAAGTGCAAGGAGGTGCTAGGAGTTCTTAGTTAGGGGTGCTACTTCTAAGTTTATGATACCATGTTTATGATTAATTACTGTGTCTTCCTTAGGGGGAAGGAATAGTAAGGGATTATTTGAACTCGCTACCCACCTACCATGGTTTTCTATGGCTAAGACGCTGTGGGGTCTCTTTAAACCAGCTTGACTTATACCTTAAAATCAAATTGTATTATATATCTATCTAAAAGAATCATATTTGGGTCTGGATGCGGACATGTCCGAAAATGAATTAAAAACTCAGACCATTGTCGCAAATGGTAGAGGGGGATGCATGTCTCATCCCCTCGGCATTCCTATATTTCATGCACCAATTTCTTCTTTATGCCCTCTACATATCTAATCTCGATTAAGAACTCTAAAATTTCAGGTCAAAGTGTGGTGTACGAAGCAAGAAGCCAGCGTCCTCAACATTGATATGAAGGCAAATATATGCTCTGTGAAGTATAATCCCGAATGTAGCAATTATATTGCGGTAATGGCCTTTCCTGTCAACCTCATTCAAATTCTATCTTTACCTTTTTCCGTTTTCCTTTTCCTTTTTTTTTTTTTGGGCAAATGAACTGAGATTCTTTCCTCAGAAGTGCCAAGTACCTAAAATGGGTCATTTACATTCTGCAGGTAGGTTCTGCAGATCATCATATCCATTATTATGACTTGAGGAACACTCATCATCCACTTCACGTGTTCAGTGGCCATAAAAAGACGGTTTCTTATGTAAAGTTTCTTTCAGAAAATGAGCTTGCTTCGGCATCGACAGATAGTACCCTTCGGCTATGGGATGTCAAACAAAATACTCATGTAAATTTCATATTCTAGCTTTTGTTTCGTAATTTAAACCCGTTTTGTACGTGATTAATATCGTACTTGATACAACATATTTATGTTATGAGTTTATGATGCGTTGTTTTCAGGTTCGCACATTTAAAGGGCACATGAATGAGAAGAATTTTGTGGGCTTCACGGTGAACAACGAGTTCCTAGCTTGTGGCAGCGAAACAAACGATGTGTTTGTCTATCACAAGGTAGCTACTGCACCTCCAGTTTTGTCCAACTCATCCTTTTGTGGTACAGATAATTACAACATCGCCAGTTTCAGAGCATTAAATAAAATAAACAGCAGCTAACTTTGAAAATTACTAGAACCATCCTTTACCTTTAGGTTTGTTACTGTATTGCATTTTAACCTATCCATTAGCTGACTTTGACGGCTGATTTAATTTGCTAGCAATAGCATAGTCAAATGTTCTACAAATTACAACTCTAGTCCTCAGCTTTTCAGAGAAGTACAAGTTATCACACCTTTTCGTCTAGCCATTTTTCTATATTTTGAAGAACTGGGGGTTGTAAAGATTATATTGCAAGGCAGAGTAGTGGATGTTCACAATATTTAGGTGAAATCGAGGGATGTGATTGTGCAGATATTTGACAATGTCTGCAGTTCCCCTCAGCTCAATTACCGGCTTGTGGGAAGTGTATAAGATGGGTATTATCCTTTAGGGAGGCTTTTGTTATTTCAAAATTATTCCTTCATAATTTGGTCAAAACCTGGATAAAAGTTTGTGTTGTTTCAGCCCTTTCACTTTTCCATTTATTTCATTTTACTGCATTCCAAATTGAGAAAATCTAACACGATGAGTCTCAGGCTATCTCCAAACCTGCCACGTGGCATAAATTTGGATCCCTCGAAGCGGAAGATATGGAAGAAGACGCGATATCTTACTTCATAAGTGCAGTTTGCTGGAAGAGTGATAGCCCCACAATGTTAGCTGCCAATAGTAAAGGAACAATAAAAGTGATGGTCCTCGCTGCTTGAACATTTTGTACATAAGTCTCTAATATACTCTCCAATTTTGTACATACTTGTTTGCATGCCTTTATGTGTTAGTGGTGTGGGTTCTTGGTGATAGATCATAAGGAATATTAATCCTATAATGCATTTTGTGATTGTATTGCATGTAAATTAGGCATAACCTGAGTGGGATCAAACTGGAAAGTTATTATATATTGCCTTTTGGTGTAGAATTGACAGATTTATCATCCCTTGATATTGATAAATTGATTTAGATTTTAGACTTTATATTTTGCGTCTAACATTATTGTGTAAGGCAGACTGGAAGGCCCCATGCAGTTCTGTAACTGCAGGTGAAAAAAGCTGCCCGAGAAGTCCCAATACAGGCTTGAAGCTCTCCTGCATGACCGTAAATCTATAAGTTATTGAGATAATTACAGCCATCAATATTGAGAGTTATTTTATGTAGGGTTTGCCAGAAAGTAGTGAATGGCAACTTTTTTCCTTTACTAGAAGCCTATAGCTGTCATCTATATCTGAACTCTGAAGTCACAGAAAAAGGTACACTTTTTTAAAGGTGCTTGTCTGAATTGGTACAATCCCTAATCTAAGCTCAAGGAAGAATATGTTGTGAGATGTAAGAACATTGAACAGTAACTTTTAATCCACTTGAAGAGGTGACAAGTTGTTTAATTGCTAAAATAAAATAATGTGTGTGTAGGATGTAAACCATATGAATTACCAAATAGAAGCTTGATTAGTACCAAAATATCAGAATAACATAGATTCTAACAAAACAACAATAGTCATAAAGAAACAAAAAAGATTGCACCAAACTGCTTGATTTCATAAACCTACGTCATATGCTTGGCTATAATCTTGTTCTGGTTTCTCAACCACAATTGTTGCTCGTACAATACATTTTTCTGATCCACATGAGAACCACTATACATCGGTTCACTCGTAAACGAATAAGGCACCGCAAATGGGTCGTTGCTCGCCAATTGTGCGCCGCATGACATTTGATGATTGTGCATTGGAAACAAAGGGATAGCTTGGAAGGTCGGTACTGTCGTTGCCTGCTGAAAGTTCGACACTTCTGCCGTGTCTTGCAAGAATGGGTTGTAATGATTGTTTGTTGGCATCATCATCACACTTGGTTTCGACTGTTGCGTGTATTGTTGTGTTGGCCGTGTTGCCTCAAATAACACCAACTCCCATCCTGTAGCCGAGTTAGTGTTTGCCGTCGTTCCTTCCACCGACGATGATAGGGTTTCGGTCAAAATGAGCTCCCAAGTCTTGGAATGATCTTGTTGTTTTTGCTTTTTTTCTTCTTGTTGTTTATGTTGTTTTCCTCTCTCCTCTTGTTCGGACCACTCCCACAACGACATGAGGTCGGCCATTGAGTTTGAGATCGGGAGTGAGTGGGTCGAGCCTGTCTCGCTCATTGGTTCAAATGTGTCGTCCTGCCTCGGGCCTGCGTAGGCCTCAAGGTCGATCGAGATTGCAGGGCACATCCTGGTATCAGATGCGTTGATCAGGTCCTCCAATGACGTCGTGCACTGAGGGCCCACTTCGGGACCCGAATTGTTCTCCGCCAATCCCTTTCCTGTCGGGTAGGTCAAGGTTGGACCAGAAGACTTAAGAGGGAACGAGCTTTGGTCCTTGAGGAACTCCTGCAGGGCATCGACCAGCTCCTCGGAGATAGTCTCCACGCTCGGGTACTCGGAGCTCCGCCCGACCCCGATGCACTTGCACACGGCGTAGAACTCGCTCAGCTCCCGAAACTGCCTGACGGCCCGCGTGCACGCCTGGAAGGCTTCCACACAGTTCTGAAACTGCAGGTAAAAGAAGTTGTCAAGCACGAGCTTCAGCCCGTTCGAGACATCCCTATACAAGTCGAAGCTTTCCCGCACGACCACGTATAACGCGGCCCGCACCAGCCGGTTCGATGGGGTTGGGCCCGTCGGCCGTGTCCCCACGGCCCGGTCGAGCAGTCGCTGCCAGCACGCGATCTGGTCAAGCATGGCAGCAGGCTTCATGTCACGGGCAACGGGTGTCGGGCCTTTGGTCCGGCGCCCACGGGTCGGGCCCGACCGGCGCTGGAGCTTCCCCGTGAGGAAGCACTCGAGGCGCTCGTCGAGGTAGAGCGCGTAGGTGCGAACGAAGGCGGTAAAGTCCCACGGGCTCGAGGAGTTGGAGGCGTCTCGGAAGGAGGAGAGGTTGAGGATGCGGGCCCCACGACGCATGGCGAGGAGGACCTCTCGAGGAAAGTAGGGGTCGCCGTCTTGGAAGACGCGAAGGACGAGGACGAGAGACTTGAGGGCGACGGCCCAGTTGCGGGTGCGGGAGATACGGCGGGCGACAGCGCGGGCGCAGGCGGCGGCGTAGAATTTATTAGACGAGACAAGGCGGAGGACGTCGTCGATCGAGCCGTGGTCAGTCGGGAGGCTGTCGTCGTCGTGGGTGGTGGCACGGAGGATGGCCACCTCAAGGGACGTGTAGGGGGTGCTCGAGACCTTGGCGAGGCCGATGCTGGCCGAGTCCTTGACGACCCCAAGGGCTTTCAAGAACTTGCTTGGCATGGTTGTTGAATTGTTATATGAAAATAACAATTGGTTTGATTTAGATTTTTTTTTTTTTTCTAAATGTTGGTCAAAATGGGATTTTTTTTTCTTGGTTTTATTCCTTTTCCTTTCGGAATTGAGGCTAAGAAAGTGCAAAAGGCTTGAATAAAACTTGGGGTTTATGTGAGTGAGTTTCTTGTGACTTGTGAGACCAATGTACTTCCTACGGTCCCTCACTACCTCATAGTTTACGCAAGAATTTTGGAACCTTTTGACTTCGGTTGATTTTGGTTTTAAAACACGCTGGGGAACCGTTTGTTTGTCCAAATATTTCGGAGCCATTCAGAATTTTTTGCAGAAATACATGTGAATGTCCACAAGTGTATGCCTTAATTTGAATGCAATTGCTCACCTTATGTTTGAGCGAATGCACACATATACACACAGAAGGTCTTACTTATGTGTCACTTCTATTCTTAAATTTTACTTAAATGATTTTTTATTATTTTTTTTTTCATTGATATTTTGGACTTGGAGGAATAAACGTATCAAATACATTAGCTATGCAATTTTTCCTAACCACAATTTTTTTGTATGATAAGCTTAATAATTAGTTAGATCCTTAGTTATATTTTTGGAATAAAAATGTATACTTATACTGATATTTAATGACATACTTTTGTTTATGTGTTTTTGAAAGCATTTGTATATAAAAATATGCATATTTGTTAAGAAAACGTTACGATCGAAACTTGAAGTCGGTCTAAGTCCTAACTAGTGGTGTAAACATACTGAATCGAACTCGACTTGTTAACTAAACAATCAAATAACCAAGCTTGAGCTCAACTCATTTGTCAATATTAACAAGTAGAACTCGAACTTTAGCGAGTTGAACTATAAAAAATTATGTATAAAGTTTTCTGTGAAAACCTTTTCGAGTCGAACTGAGCCTTTCTCATTTATTAACAAAACTTGAGCTCGACTTATTTATCAAACGAAAGGAGTTGGGGCTAAGTTTACAAGCGGATTGTTTCATTAACAGTCTTACTAACATCTAAGCCTACCATATATCAAAATCTAACATATAATAGATGTTTCATCACATTATATGCATCACAAAATCTTTTTAGATGTCAAATTTTAATTGTGAAAGTTAGAAAACGAAATTGAATAAATAGCTTTAGTTTTTAAGAAAATCATTAAATTTTCTTTTATAGAAATGGTATTAATGATTAAACCATTAAAAGCTTTTCTTTTATTGAAAAAAAAAATTGCTTTCACATTTTATAAGGAAAACAAAAGGCACATAAATCAAGAGCGCCACATTTGGATTTGGTTATTTATTTATGCCAACTATTGCCAAGACAACTTCTTGAAAAATAAAGTATAAAAATAACTTAAAATTTAAAAAGTGAATTATCACGAATGGCAAAGCTGTAAATAAAACCAAAAAAAGTGGCAAAGTCTACAAATACATAAAAAAGATTCGGGAAAAAAAATTCAAAAAAGCCGAAAGCCTATCGGCTCGCATGATATGTGGAACCGAACGTACACAAAACTCAAAAAAATGGTGTGTTTTTTTCCACTGCGTGTACTTTGTGTTTCAATGTACACGCACATATACATACACACTCTAGTATGTATACACTTATACCCCCATTTTATTCCCACTTTTATTTAATTTTTTTTTCACTCTGAGTGGCACATTTGTTCCTCTCTCTTTTTCAAATATTCCTCTCAAAGACTCCACCTTTTTTCAACTTTTTTTCTCCATTTCTTGTGTTTTTGCTGCTTTACTTTGTTCTCTGTTTTGCCCACAAGCAGAAAAACACACACACTCACACAGAGTGAAAGGAATTAATGGGTGACATCGTACACCTGCCCATGGAGCAGCTTCAGGACCTCGAGTACTGCATTGATTCCAATCCCCCATGGCGTATGTTTCATAATTCTCTTAACCCCTTTCAGTTTCACACACAAAACACGCAGTGGACGGTGTTATGGACCTTTTTTTTTNCAAGAAATGATGGTTTTTGAATTAAAGCGAGTGGGGTTACAGCCTTACAGGCTCATTTATTGACCAGACAAATGCTGAAGCCGTACGATGTGGGGATTAATGTGTGTTGTAATGAGGATTGGCTTTATGGCTCTGTCTGAGTGTGTTTGTGTGTGGGGAGGAAAGGTGGTGAATTTTAAGTTGAGGTGAGTTGGTGGGCCTAATGGGACTGTGTAAATGTGAATTTTTGTTCATGGGGTTTTGCTATTATTGGTCATTGAGATTAATTGACATTGTTATGTCAATGTTATTATCTTTACTGTTCTGAAATGATGTCTGGACCATGCCAAAGAACTCTAGTTTATTACATTCGGTCCTACGGAAATGGGTCTCTAGATTGAAATTTAAGGAGAAAGGTGAGATTTTGATACAAGCCATAGGCAATGATTTTGAAATTCAATGGTTTTTCCACATTTTCTGAACAGTCTTTGTTCTCAAACTTCTGTAAATTGTATGAAGCGCTTAAAAAAAATCTCATTTCATATAATTTGATTTTGATGGCGATGAAATCTCATCCGGGAGGACAGAAGTGTCGTGATTGAGTACAGAATGAGTGAGCTTATTTTTCCTTTCTGAGTCAACTGGTTCCATTTTGTTCTTGTTGTGTGTAAAAGGTTTATGTAAAATCTCTGCATAATTGTATTACTGAATGAATGTTGTACGTGAGATAACAATAGGGACCATTAAATGACGTCCTTTAATTTGGTGAGAATTGAATTTTTATATATTCGGAATGAAATATATACCTTTCGTTTTTGTCAGTGATGTGGCAATATCTATAAGAGAAATCTGGCAAGAACTGTTAGTAGTAGAATTGCAAGTAATCTTGAGTTGGTGTATATTTAATACAGGAAATTTGCAAAAAATACCACCTTTTATCTTTCTGTTTGCAAAAATAACCTCCTTTTTGTATTTCATGACCAAAAACACAACCGACAAACGGACAAACAATGACTGATATGATTAAAAGATGGCCTTTTGCTAAGAGAAATTGCAAAGGCGATATTCTTTGCAAGCAATAAATTGAATAGATAGATTTCAAGTGTTAGATTAGCAAGCCTAGCAGATATTAATTTTGTTCCCAAGACTCTAAATTTTTAGTATCTTCTAGAACACTCGTTTCTTCAGGCTATCACGTGTCAACAAGTTGAATGTCGTTTAGGCTTCCGAAAAAAACATCAATTTTTCTGGTTCTGCTAATCTTCTGATATATTTTTTTGTTATTTTTTGTTTTCCTATTTGCAGCTGAAACCATTTTGTTAGCATTTCAGAATTACATTTTAGTACTCGGCACAAGTGTGATGATTCCCACATTACTTGTCCCCATGATGGGGGGTACAGATGTAAGCTTCTTTCTTATCTCGTTTTTTCTGTTTCACATGAAAAGGTGGACCTGCAATGAATAATCTATAAGGTTGCTAGAAAATTCGGCATTTAAGAAGCTCTTTCACTTGATCAGAATATTTCAAGAAGCATCTTTTTTTTTTTTTTTATATATATTCATTTTGAAGGGGTGTGAATTGGGTCTAATCTTGATATCACTGTCCAACAATGATATAGTTTAATTATTTTGGTTATTAACTTCATTTTGTTGACATAGAAGTTCAGTTTTTTCTTTCTCTTTGGTTCTTAATTTTTTTTCTTCTTTTTTTTTTGTTTTTGTGTGTGTATCACTGAATGATGTTATATGCTGATGTCACAGGGGGACAAAGCACGGGTAATCGAGACATTGCTATTTGTGGCTGGCATTAACACTCTCCTTCAGGCACTCTTTGGTACTAGGTTACCTGCTGTCGTGGGAGGGTCTTTTGCTTACATTGTCCCCGTTGTGTATATCATCCACGACTCGTCTTTGCAGCAGATTAATGAACCTCATATAGTACGTATCTTCTTATATATTTTCCCATTCTCTCTTTTTTTTTTTAAACTGACACTAATAAAGCCGTTTTATTGTTCGAATAATTTATTAATTCGATGCCTTTTGCATGTTTAACTACCAATGTTAATTTT